TAACAATTTCCTGCTTCACACTTACTATTATGATCCAGCACCAATTCATTGAAATTGCGACCACTTGGCTCTTGGCCCACATACGAATGCACCACCTTCGGTCCCAGCTTCTCCAAGGCAATGGCGTACGTCAACGGTTTGCTGTAATCATAAATTGTGCAGTGATTTAAATCGATTGAAATAGTTACGAACCTTTACATTGTTTTACACATTTGCAATGTAAGAAACAAACAAATAACACAAAATGAGTGAGTATTATTGGTGGTTGAACGAAGGTGAGATAGGTGATGCAACGTCAAGAGCGACGGCGATGGCGACGACGACGACGACCGCGACGATGACAAAGGCTGTGGGGCAATCCACAGAAACTTCCAGCCAACGTCACTAAAACCGCTCATGTTACGCCGAGTAGATGGACAAGAACAAAGAAAACCGCTGCCCATTAGACAACCGTAACGAAATGATTTTCCGACTTGAATTCGGTCTTTGCCCAAAAGCTAACGACAAGGCGAGCGGATAACAGCGACAAATGCGACAAGGCAAAAGTTGCTCTGAAAGAAGTTTAATTAGTTTGGGAAATATTTGCAAGAGAGTATTCATGACTGTGTACGTGAGTAGGTCAGTGAATGTAGTCAACGCTTTTCGCTAACCACCAGCCGCGCGCGAAATCAAGCCTGTTTGAATGCGCCACGAATGATGACCGCATGCCAATTTGAACGAGTATGTATGAATGAACTGGTTGTTTGTATGAGCACCAATGAGCGTTACGTGAATGAGTGCTTCACGCTCAGCATTTTTCTTTAACTTTGTTGACATTATGCACAGACAAGCGATATTTACCTGCAACTCTGCAAAGTGAACGGTATATCCACATCGCCAATAGAGAAACGCTGACCATCGATCGTACAGATGCTCACACCCCACGAATCGGAGCTGTAGCGCGCCAATTGCGGTATGTAATTGGCAACAGCACCATCGGTATTCGTCTTGCATTTCCAATAGATATCCTCGACATCCTTGACGAAGCTCACGAAATCCGGTATGATGAACTGTTGTCGGAACGCCTTGGCAATCAAGACGATATTCTGCGCGACGACACTGCAAAGGCGAGAGAAAGGAGTATGAAAGGGGCGAAATTAAACTCAGAAAAAAAACTTTTTTTTTTTTTGGTCATAACTTACGCTTTAAAGGTTTCACGATTCAGGTTCTGAGTTTCAGCTGACGAGCCGGTTTCATAATTGGACAGCTTGTGCACCTTCTTCAAGTTCTCCATCAGTTCGCGTATGCGTGGGTCGCTGCGCCTGATGCCGGTCGTCTTGAGTGCGGCCAGAAATTTGCCCATCGAGATGAGTCCAGTCTCCTCATTGTAAAACATATCGAAGAGTACATCCTCGGCATTGCGTTGTTCTTGCTCCCGATGGCTGTTTGTATGTTTTATGTAGTGGCAGAGTTGGGGAAAAATTTGCAAAAAAAACCAAATCAATTAATTAGCAACTTGTGGCTAAGTAGTTATGAACTATACTACTTTTCGGGCATTAGTTAATAACTTTGTGTTAAAAGCTAGCAAAGTGGAAAGCTGTTAGTTGGTACGCGTTGACACACTAGCACAAGCTGGTATGTATGTGTAAAACATGCACACCTACATACAAGCGAATGCTCTTGCACAGACGTACATACGTTTACAAATCGAGATGGTGAAATTTTCTAGAGATCTTTTAAATGTACGATGTGTACATATCAGATAGCGGAAAGAAAAAATCCAAAGACTACTTCAAAACTCAAGCGCAAAATCAACTAACTCAACATAGTGTCCATTTAACTAAGTATGCTTGAGTAAAGAGCAGAGAGATGGGCAAATACATGAATGAACATTTATGCATATTTAGATAACTTATGTAAACTACATATGCATGTATGTATCAAAGTACTCATGCACTTAAGTAAGTGCCATTCGAAGGTAGCTAAGATATCGTAGCGACAATATGCACTCAATGTAGTTGCACACATGAATATATGTATGCATGCTTGCTTGTTTTCTTAAGTCACCTATGACTAACGGTTAGAAAAATTTGCAAAAATTGCCGCACAATTTAATACTATGCTAATCTAATGAATGTCTGAATGAAGGTGGTAATAGGCGTGTAAAGATGCATATCGGTACGTATCTACTAGTAGGTATGCATTCACTCCGCACGCTTTATATGTATGTATGTAAATTAGGGTGTAGCACCCTGTAAAGAAAACAAACAGAAATTTTCCATTGCACATAAAGCAAAAGTTACAATTTAGCTGGAAAAAATCTAAAATTGCGATGATATTTAATATCTATAAAAATACGTACGAACGGTTCTTAATGTTTCAATAACTAACGGACAGCATTAGTTATGAAACAACATTTTGCAATATGTTAATAGAGTACGAGCAACTTGCCGAATGCATATCGTGCACACAGGCACCACAGCAGCCCTGTATTAATTATAGTAGGTATGTGTGGATGTAACTTTTTAAAATGATTTTTATATTAAAGAAGGACTATTTACAAGTAAGTTTTTATTTTTTCAATAGTTTACGAATAACAGTTTTAAAAACTAGAAAATAATTATTCCGTAGGTGATAATAAACAGTACCCCGGAGTACCCTCAATTGATTTTTATAAAAATATTCTTTGATTCGTTTAGAAAGCCCTCAAAAAAA